CAAAAATAAATCTTTATTTTTTCATATCGTTTTTAAAAAGATTATCAAAATGCATAGATTAGTACTCAATGAGACTAAATAATAATACACCTTTTGATATTAACCACGTCTATAGCTCGCACCCATGTTGCGATGTAGAAAACGACTGGAGTATACAGTAAACAAATAAGATTTTGGTTTTGAGGTGAAGAAATTTCCCAAGTGACTATAATAGCAACGGACAAATGGTTATGATAAATTCTAAGCACTGTTAAGAGTAGGACTATATATGTATATACATAAATATAACTCTTTACGAATATAAACTGTCATGATTTTAACTAAACAAAAATAAAAATGTAAAAATAAATCAATTATTGCAAAAAACTATAATAAAAAAATGATGATTTGAAGCTAATGTAACTACTAAAAGCGTCGTTTTAAAGCAAAAATATCTCAATTAATATGTTCATTTGGCACCAAACTTTAGCAAGGATTCTGATATGTATTTTTATGTGATAAAATCTTACCAGGATGTATCGCTATAAATGTATAATACAAATAATCCAATAGTTAAAAGACATATAAATGCAGTAAAGTAAATAATCACCTATTAAAATAAGGAGTTACTTCTCGAAGGTGTTTTACTACTAATTCAACAGTGCTTGTTGCCCTTTTAAGAGCCCTAACTGCCTCATCATGACTTGCATTTCTCAAATCTTCTCCATTAACAGTCAATATTGCGTCTCCAACAAACAATTGACCAGATAAGTCAGCAGCCATTCCCTTTAAATAAAATAGTTAAATAAAAAATACGTAAACAATGCTCAAAATTTATGTATAACGACTAACTTTAAATATTTTACTAATTAAGATTGGTGTTTTGTTCTCCCAACCTCCTTTTATACTGATTCCCAAACCATTATAATCTTCTTTGTTAATTCTGACAATTCTTTTATGTGATGGTATTTTGAACTGGGAATCTATTTAATTAAATAATTTTAAGCTCACAATATTCATCACTTATAACGTTTTTATCATTTGTTTGTAAAGAGGCATCTACCAAATCTATGATTAGAACGTCTTCCTTGAGTGTAGCTTTAATAGGTACGAGGAAATCTTTTATAATAAGGTCTAAACGACCTGTTAAAATGCATTCATCCATAATCAATGTGAGGAGGAATTTTAAACATCAAGCCTACTCGAAGCGTTGATCATGTAGGTTGTAAATAATTCAGATAAACACATTTCGTCTTTGCTTACTATTCTATAACAATTAAAAAAAATCCTTG